AGAGAGAGAGAGAGAGAGAGAGAGAGAGAGAGAGAGAGAGAGAGAGAGAGAGAGAGAGAGCTGTCACTGGGCATTAGACCCCTAAGGAGGACAATGGCTTCCTTTCAGAGTGTGTGGTGTAGTACTGAACACTGGTCTGTCAGGGAAGGGTTTATTGGTCTGTCTCTAACGTATCCCTGTGTTCTATGGATTGGAACCCCCCAACCAGGTGTCCCACTTACTTAAGGGAAGCAACAAGAGCCATGAGGTTTGTTTCAGGGGCTCTATAGCTTGAAGCAAGTCACGGTTTCTGGCCATGAAGTCTCTGTCCACTACATGATGCCAGAAAATTACATAAATTCTCTAAAACGATAGTCCCTTGTTCAAAACACACTCAATATCATCTACCTTGCATGTTTTTACAAGAACACACACAAAAAGGCTTTTATTTCAGGGTTCAGTGGGGTCCATGGCTTCACTGCAGTGCCCTGGCCAGGTGTGTGCTCTGCCCCCTTTTCTCCTGGAAGTTTTCCTGTGTCCTGCCTGGTCCCACAGCCACTCAGACCTAAGTAAACATACAGAAGCTTCTATCAATTATGAATGCCATGGCCATGGCCTATGGCTCAATTTTCTTGCTAGCTAGCTCTTATAACTAAACTCAGCCCATTTCTATTAATCTATATGTCGCCATGTGTTCTGTGGCTTCACCTGTGTGCCATTACATGCTGCTCCCTGGACGGCAGAATGGCGTCTCCCCTGTCTCTCCTCTCTCCTTTCTCTGTCTCCCTTGGATTTTCCCACCTGGCTCCATCCTGTCATGCTATAGGCCAAACAGCTTTATTTATCAACAAATCTGAGAAACAAATATTCACAGCATACAGACAGACATCCCACAGCACTTCCCCTTTTCTGTCTAATCAAAAAGGAAGGTTTTAACTTGAACATAGTAAAATTACATAGAGTAGAACAGTCAAGCAAGAATTACAGTTACAATATCTAGTCTATTTGTATTTTGCAAAGTTAAAGAAATTATTCTATCATACCAGGTGGGACACAGGAAAACTTCTGACTACATCCTGGCTTCATTCTAGTCTCACCTCAGCGTCCCATCTGTGTTGGGCCTCTTTTCTCCCATTGTGCCCACTCATTGGCTGTGCTTACAAACAGTGAGAAGTGTCTGACCATGTAGGTGTGAAGCATCTGGCCATGGTGGTGAGAAGTGTCTGGCCATGTAGGGATGAAGTGTCTGGCAATGGTGGTGAGAAGTGTCTGGCCATGGTGGAGTGAAGTGTCTGGCCATGGAGGTGGGAAGTGTCTGGCCAGGTAGGTGTGAAGCATCTGACTATGGTGGTGAGAAGTGTCTGGCCATGGAGGTGGGAAGCGTCTGGCCATGGCTGTTGCTTATTCACTCATGCATCTACCGGCTCAGTGACAACAGGGACTTGCCTCCACACATGGAATGCTCCTCCTTCATGTGACATTTGCTGGACAAATGACTAAGGATGCTTCCAAACAACATAGACAGTCTGCTGTCAAGACACATAGGCCATCCCAGCCTGCCCTTATGACTCAGAGGACATTAGTCACTCTGTGAAATCATGAAGTGGGGGGTGGGGGGCCCGACATGCCAATCTACTGTCAGACTCACTAAAGAATGGACTGGAACACACAGTCTGGCACCGCTGCCATTCAGAGACCTACCTTACACTGCCAACGAGAAGTGTTTCAAATGTTTCCTGAAGTTACACACATGCACACACATACTCACAGGACCACCTGACCGTCCCTATGTGGGACATAAGCATTGTGCGGACAACCGTACCAAACTCGCTGTCTCCTCCCATGTCTGGTTGGATGTCTACTCCCATCCCCACCCTGCCTCTGAAGAACTGTGTCGATTCCTCTGTAGAGACCTGCTGCAACCAGGGTACAGTCACCTCAATAGGTTCCAGTCATACACATGTTCCTCTCAGGGAAAACAGCCTCAGATATTGCAGTCCTTATCCTCATGGCAACCACACAGAAGGCAATTTTGTGTCCTAACACCTTTGACAACCAGAGTTGCCCCAGCATGCCTTAGACTAATAGTTCCCCCACAAAGTGTGCTCCCAGCCCCAGCAAAGGCAGGAATACCTGGGAGCTTGGGTGGGATGCAAACCCTTGGGGCCCTGGCTGAGACTGCTGAGTCTCGGCCTCTGTTCGGGGCCTGTCACTATTCACATGACTGTGATGCACCCCGAAGTTTGTAAGTCACTGTTCCAAGCCCAGGCTTTCACTCAGATGTCAATCCCCAGCCTTTTGGAAGGTCCTGGAAAACGGATAGTTGTTGATCTTCAAGACAGGTTCTCCACTGATGCCATGGGCTAGCCTGGCCACTCCTGTGGTCTCCGCTAAGCAACAGGCTCTTCGGGGGACAAGTGTGATGTGAGCTCAGGAATAGCAGAGTGTCAACATCCCTTTGATGAAAGATAACTCTGTTGTCCTCAGTCCAGAGGATGAAGAAAATTAAGCTGTTCAGCCCCAAAGCCAATGGCAAGAACCAGTTGTCTTTGCTGTGAGTGTTATCAAGACGAAAAAGAGAAGTCTCAAGAATCTACAAGTGTTCCAAATATTCACTGTCATTGTCACCTTTATACATGAAACCTTAAAAAAGAGAGGATCAGTTCCTTCGATACAGAGCGGGCAACTTCTAGCAAATACTCAAAGCACAAAGATTTCAGATCAGCTAAAAGGAGGACTCGTGGGTCTTTGTGCAGCAGACACTCACTCTCCCTGAGGAAGATGTCTCTTGTATCCTCTCTACTGCTGCAGGTCCAGTATCTCGATCGGTTAGTGAAATCAACCTACAGCTAAAACCGTATCCGTGCCGAGCAGAGACCGCGTGGCACTGGATTCAGCGAGAGGCATAATAGGGCCATTCTAAGACCAGAGTTTTAAATGGCCTTTCTGTCTCCTGCCTCATGCATCTGGGGCTGGGGACACAGCATTAAAATGCAGCCAGAAAAATGTCCCATAAAGAACTTTATTGACAAAAAGGTAAAATTTTAATAACCCTTCAGTAGGGGCCATTCGGGAGGGGTAATATGTCATAAGAGCGGACCAGGGTTTTCATAGCCCTCCTAGGAATTCCCCATATTAAAAGAATGTTTTCAGTTTAGAAAGAGCCCAGCTGGAAAGCATTCTGGGGGATGACAATCTCTGCCCTGCTCTTGTTGTTATGTGATGAACCTTTGTGTGCTCCCCCCCCCCCGTGTGTGTGTGTGTGTGTGTGTGTGTGTGTGTGTGTGTGTGTGTGTGTAACTACATCCTGCTGAAGGGATTTTCCCCTCACTTTGTAGCTTAACAACCAAATGAACTAAAATGCTTCACTGCGGAAACACAGAATAAGGCCTTCAGACGTGTTCAAATTGTGAATGGTGTCCCCAGTACTGCCAAGGCCACCTACCTGACGTACACCACGGAGTCTCACAAGTGGGTTAAGGAGCTCCACTTGGGGAAAGCTTTTTCTCTATAAAACCTCTATTGAGGATCTGCAGAGACCGTGACAGGCTTCCCCAGCAGCCACAGAGGCCACCACACAGCTCACAGAGGGAGGCTGTGTGCCTCAGTGGGGTTTACCTTCTTGTCCTGTGGCCGTGGTAGAGCTCCAAGGGTAACCTAACCCCCAGGCAGGTATGGATGAGAGATGAGGGCTTATGAGCACACTAGAGCAAATGCTGGAGCATTGCTCAAAAAAAAAAAAAGAGTTAAAAGATATGAACCCAAGCTTCTATTCATAGCAGGCACATAAAACAAGCAAGCAAAGATCCCCAGGGGACTCACTGGTTGCTTATGGTTATGGTCAAAGGCATGGTGGTACCATGAATATGCAGACACACCGAAGCAGCTGTGCAATTGGAGCTGAAAGCCATGTGAAAGGATGAAATTAGGCCCAGGATCCAGGTACGAGGTGATGAACAAAATCATCTGGTGAGGCTGGGGTCAAGCAAGCTTCAAACTGCGGCTTTACTGCATCCATGGTGGACAATGACAAGGTTGGTCCATTGCTCACAGCCCATTTCCCCATGCAAAAAGGGTGAAGAAAGCATTGAGAAGATAGTGTTCTGTGAAAATCACGTAAATCAGGGCTCAGATTCTATCTTTCACTAGACGATGTTCAGAACACATAACAGAACAGAATATCATGTATGTAAAAGGTAAAAATGTAATATAAATATAAACAAGAACAGAAATATACTCTTTGAAATTTCAGATGCACCTTAGAACGCTGCCATCAAAATGGCCATGGGCGGTTTCAGGTGACTGCCGGGCTGCCGGGCTGAGACGTTTAACACAGTATGTTATGATGCTGACCACGGATGAAGACCGAGGCATGAAAAATAAAATGTTTTCCCACATTACCCAGCCGTGAAGTGATTCTGGTGTTACTACAGAACACCAGGGAATGTCTATTTTTAGCCCCAGCAAACACAGCCTCCATCACTTCGGAGTTTGTCTCCTCAGCATTTTGTCGGTGAGACTGTCAGCTCAGCGCAGCTTGGTTCACCTCCAGAGAGGCACAGCCTCCTCTGATTCACAGGCATCCCCCTCCCAACTCTCCCGTCCTCAAGATCTCTACACCCAACCTGCCCCTAAACCTGACCGGGCGATGGATAAACATGCCAACTTTCCAAGAACCACAGTCATAACACAGGAGAAAGGTAACTAGGGTTTAATCATAGCTGTGCATCTTGCTGGAGTGTGTGTGTGTGTGTGTGTGTGTGTGTGTGTGTGTGTGTGTGTGTGTGTGTGTATAAGCGAGGCAGAGACACAGAGGCAGAAACCGAGAGACAGGGAGACCGCCCCCCCTGTGGAGTCAGAGATCAACTTGGGCTGTCACCCTCTTCTTGTTTGTGACAGGGTCTCCCATTCTTTGCCACTTTGTGTATAGGGCTAGCTGGCCCCCCAGCTTCCCAGAGTCTCTGGCTTCTTGCATCTTGCTGTAGGACCCCCAGGGTGGCAGATGTGGACGGCCACAGTCAGCCTTTACATCTGATCTGAACTCAGGTCCTCACACCACACTGAACCGTCTCCCTGGCTCCACTTCCATCTCATGAAAGTTTCTGCTAACACAGCTTACTGTATCCAAGGCCCTTGAGCATGCCATCCGTCCTTGGCATGGAGGAGTGTGGTGAGGTCACCAAAACAAGCCCTGACAGCGCCTTCGTCACCAGGAATGCTTGTTCCAGGAGTTGTGGCCACCAGGTAGGAGAAAGTGGGGACAGATTGTTGGCCCATACTGTCTGGCAGACCCCTGCTTCTTGTCCAGTGCCCAGCGTCACTGTTCCACCTGCCCAGCACCAGGCTCTGCCCTACACTCCCCTATTGTCTCCTGCTCAGATAGGACACTCTGGCTGCCCATGTGGCTGCCTGGAGGTTGAGGGGAGAGCCATGAAGTGGTTAATTAGAGCCAAGTGGTACAGGAGTAAAGCCTGGGTGAGGTAACTAAGGGTCAGCAAGAGGTTCCAGGCCCTTTGGGATGATCGTGAGCGGTGAGAGCGATACACAATCCTGGGGGTGGGGCGCTGCTTTTGTTTTATAGCTGAGGGGACATTCACAGATATGAAACCTTTTGCTCAAGGCCATGTGCCTGGTGAACCATGATACCAGTGAAGACTACCCTGGCAGTTCCCAGGCCAGTCCCACCACCAGGCATTCAGCCTCACCATATCCGGAGAAGTCAGTGGATGAAGGATCCAGCTCTACAGCCTCCTCAGAATGACATCCCACCAGGAACCAAAGGTTTAGTAAACATTCAAGAGTGCGGGTGACATCTAAACCCAGTCCCCAGCCTGACTGGCAGCCCAGGTGGCAGAGGCTTCTCTGTCTCCAGAAGGGTCTAGAAAAGTCAGCAGTCACAGGGAGTTGGCCAACAGACAGAGTTCCTTAATTCCCTGACATGCTGTGAGTCTGTGCAGGACAGCCTACCCTGCAAGAAATGGGTAGGCCATAAAGAGCTGCTGGCCAAAGGCCTAGGCCAGAAAGTGACAGAGTGTCGTGCCATCCCACACACACCGCCCACAGGGCATCCCTTCTCTGTGCCTTCATGCATATGCATATATGTAAATGACACATGGTGATCCTGTGACGGCTCAAGAAGGATTGTGACAAGGTCGTTAACATATCCATCATCTTAGTCATTTATCATTTCTTGGCGTTGGGAGTCATGATGACTTCCTCTCCCACCACCACCCCAAAAGAGACCTTAGCAACCCTTGCCTTGTGGGGGTTCAGACCAAGAAAGCACTCCTTTTTTATGTATTTGTTTTTTACTTTTAGGGCTATTTTATTTCATATGGATAAGTATTTTGCTCACATGGATGTGTGTGCACATGTGTGTGCCTGATGCCTGTGGAGATCAGAAGAAGTCACTGGACCCTCTGGAACTGGAGTTGTTGATGTCTGTGAGCCACCATATAGGTGTTGGGAATCAAACCTTGATCTTCTGCAAAAACACATGCTCTTAGCCTTATCTCCAGCCCCACAAGAGAGCACAATATTGTTCTGTGTCTCTTTGGACCCCATCTCTGGGTTCTTTTCCTCCCATGGGTTTGGGGGACTCGTCCTGAACTAGAATTTAGACAGTATGCAGCCAGGAGATCTGGGCCAGGTATCTTGAGTTCGTCAGACATCAGTTTCTCCCCTTCAGATGATAGAGTTCTGCCATTGAGTCTATGCTAGCAAGAGATAGCAATGGTTACTTTTCCCTGCTCCTCTGCATCGGCCTCCATGGCCTTTGGAAGGGAGGAAACACAGCCAGAATGACCTCGATCTGGGGCACTCTTGGGGGAGTTCATCCCTCAGAGATGCATGGTTCCTCCCTGCTCCCTGCGCCAAAGCTTTCCTCAGAGAGGAAGTGGGCCTCTGCCCAAGGTTGTTTGCTGGGGCATGGGAACTCACAGTCCCCAAGTGTGGCCAGGGTGAGCAGCACCATGTGCCAGGCTGCCGCCCTCCTGGAGTTCCTGGAGCTCCACTGCCAAGGTCTGCTTTCACCAGAGCTGACGGGGGCCGGGGCGGCAGGGCTTTCCCACAGCCCCTCTCTGCTGGAAGGATGCTTGCCATGGCAGTCACACAGGGGCTCGCCTTTGTCTTCCTGGACTTTCTCGGCCATGAGGCTTTTCTCCCTCTAATCCTCGCTGGCCTGATCT